AATATTCTAAATTCTTTATCAGACATTTACATGAGTTCCATTGTACTATCTGTGGATGAAGAGTAATTATTCTTTTCCCTTGGGAGAGAGGTATCTCTTATGCCTCCTAATTCTTGGTTTCTCATATTTCTTGTGCCTCTGCAGTGATTTACAGTCATCAGATGGGTTATATGTTTCTTCCTAATTTCTCGAAGTTCAATCTGAGCGTTCAGATGTGTACAGGAGAAGGTGATCTGCAATCTCTTTGCCATTCCATTTTTCTCCCTTTGTGGGGCAGATTTAGTGGGAATTGAGGAATATGTTGACCCTAATAGTATTTGGATGTTTGGCTACGGTTTACTTAGACCTGGCTAGACACTCAGTGCATGGAGACTGAGCACCAAAGTGATGAGGTAAGAGAAAAAAGATAAGAAAACAGAGAAAGAGAAGGGGAACAAAAATAGAAAGAGAGAGAGCAACTAGAGAAAAAAAAAGAAAAAAGTTTATTTATTTATTTATTTTTTAAAGCAAAAAATGAAAACTGCGTGGAATGTTGGTTCCCAGCTTCCATGGGGGAGTGTCTTCTTTTGCTCTTCTGTCTCTCCTAAATGGGAGGGGAGAAAGAGGGCTATTAACAAAATAAAGGAGAATTTGAGATCCAAGAAGATACTTTACTTTAAAAAATTAAAATAAAAATTAAAAAATGGAAAAGGCAGAGAGAGACATAGGAACAGAAAGAGACAGAGAGAGACAGAGAGAAGGATACAGGTGGCCCTACCACTCGAGAATGGGATCTGGAGGGTGTATACTCTTCAGCAGAAAATCTTCATTTCGCTTAGTCCCTGAAGGCACTCCTTAACTATATATTTTTTAAAAATATAAAGATTGAGGTGACAGAAAGTTATTTCTGTATGCACTATCAATGTTTGACACTAGATATATTTTTGTTTTTATGTGAAAATACCAAAAAGGAAAGTATTTGGAAATTTATCTGTTTCCAGGAGTGCCAATATGTGATTTTTTTAAAAAAGTAAAGCAGTCATTCCACCAGATGTCACTGTTTGCATGTAGCAATGAAGTTACAATGCTTAAAAACACAATTCTCCCCCCTCCCTAGTTGTATTTTGTGGAAAATAAAAAGACTATAGTTATATACTTACTCCGCTATAGACTTGCTATTTTTTTAAATCAAGACTGTATACATTGATTTTTTTGAAAGTGTACAAAGTGTTCATATACCTCTGCTTCTGATTTTAAAGAAAAAAAGTTATCTGAGGCTAAAGAAGCATCTTCAAGAAGACACACTTCTAAAGTTTTTCCTAGATCTAAGAGTCTGCTTTTTAAAATATGACTTTAAATAAGTTCATATTTTCCAAAATGTGGATTGTGATTCAGTAAGTAGGTTGTGAAATCAATCTAGTTATTTTGCTATGAGCATGTAAAAACGGTATGTTGAATAAAACACTTCATTGCACGTAAGTATTATTTTGATGAAGCTTGTGTATGTGAACACCAGTAAAATATCCCTGTACACATCTTCTGTGAGTTACCTAAAAGTGACTGTGAGCTCCATCCTGTGAAGTCTTCCTCAGAATGTTTTAAACCAAGGAGAAAGACAAATTTGCTAAGAAAGAGAGAGTAAGCTGTGATGGAAAAATGTACTAAGGTGGGGGAGGGGCATCAGGGAGGACAACCCTTCTCCAGGTGTCACAGAGTGAAGTTCAGTTACTTCTATGTAGCTAATAGACCATATGTGCAGACATTTAAAAATTATTTATTTTGAAAATTTTATTTGTTATTATTATTTTAGTTTGGTATAGGGCACATGTGCGAGAGAGAAAGAGAGAGAGAGAGAGAGAAAGTGAGAGAGAATGTAAGAAAGCATGCCCCTGGTCTGGGACTTGAACCATGGTCAGCCATGTGGAAGCCCAGTGCCTTAATTACCATGCCATGTGATAGATCCTGTGTAGAGATGTTTTAAGATTATTTACAACTTAAGGCAAATGTTTTCCAAACTTCTTTGATAGCAACCTACAATAAGAAATGTATTTCTGGCTCCATGGGAAACTGATGTTAACCAGGAAAGAAGTGAAACGTTCACTCTGAAAAGGTGGTTTTATTGCCTTCGTTCAAATCTCACCATGATAATAACAATTATAATAACGACCACTTCCTGGGTGTGAAGCATGTACTGTGTGTAAAGCTCTTCATATACATTAATTCTAAACACTAGACTCTGAAGGACCAAATCACTGTTGCCCCTCAGAAGAAGAAACAGATTTAGGAAAGGGGAGTCTAGCACAGCAAGTGTTCAAACTGGCGTTAATGTCTTGTCTGTTTATTTAATGATATCTTCCAGGAGCCAGAAGGACAGAAAGAGAGAGGGAGAGAGTTAAGCACCTCCAACAAAGTCTCAACACCATAATCTACCTGTGGCCTTCAGCCATTTCTGGATCATGGGCAAGTATGTTCCTTGTATGCTCAGAAAGGTCTCTGGACTTGAATTGGGAACCTTCCCCTGTGGGACTGCCTCATTTCAAAGACTTGCTTGCCCTGCTATATCATGAATTTTTAGGTTTCCCTGAGGATAAATACCATCTGGAGTATCTGGTTAGTATAGCCATTTCTAGGCTCTATCTCAAACCTACCGAACTAGGATCTCCAAAGGAAGGGTCTAAGAAGCAATAGACTTGACAGTTGTTCCAGGATATTGTTATGGCTGTGTTGACTTAGGAAAGATTGCAGTATAACAATACTTCTCTAATTTCTGAGTGATTCCGAATCATCTACATGGATGGTTAAAACTTAGGCAATTGGAGGGCTGGCATGTAGCATGGTGGTTAGAGTGCTGGACTCCCACATGGCTGATCATGGTTCGAGACCTGACTGTAATTGCCAGGTTCAGAAACTCAGGTTGTACTGTGTATGTTCATGCAAATGTTTGAAGAAGGGCTACTCATGGTAACTCTGGCAGAGAAACACAGTATCAACTGGAGCAGGGAGTTTGGAGGTAAAGGACCAGCAAACTGATATCACAGGACTCAAATGAGAGAAGATGCAGTGACCAGGAGAGAAACTATGGAGAGAAAATGAATAGGATGAGAGGTTACTGCTGGGAGTGAGAGAGGCTGAAAATGAAGACATTTTTCAGTCTGAGCCACTGAGACGATGACATTTTTCAAAGGCGAGTACTATAGGAAGTACTAGTTGTTCTCTGGAAAGAAAGAAGGAAGCAGGGAGAGTGTGGAAAAGATTGCCAAGTAAGTCTTGGCAGGTACAGTTGCTAATCTTTCCTTGAGTCCTTCATCTGGGTCTACGGAAGCTATGAGCTCTGCAATGTCCAGTTACTTCTTCTACTTTACTTTCAACCAGCCAGGATTTCTATTTCATTAGTATGCTTTTGGAATGCAAGAAGGGTAAAAGGCAATAAGATATAAATTATTGGGATGGCCCTATGACCTGGTGGTTAAGAAAGTTGGATTTCACATGGCTGACTGCAATTTGAATCCCAGTCCTAGCTGCTTGAAAAACATGCCAGACATGAGTGTGTCTATGCTCCAAATCCAAGCAGTATGGCAAAATGGAGGAAAAGGGATTGTGGCATGACCACACTCCATTGGGGGTATTTTCTTCCTCTCTCCCTCTCTCTCTCTCTCTCTCTCATCTCTCTGGGAAGCATATGTGCTCTCTGGAAATTAAAAAGAAAAAAAAAGATATACCCCCTCCCCCCATTTTTGTCTTAGAGCCAGTGAAAAATTATAGGAGTACTTCCAGGCAGTTTCTTAGGCCAGCCCTCTTCTTGCCTTTGCCTCCCTCCCTATAACCTTATCTTAGAAATGCTTTATTGATCTTGATGTATGTACTCTCTTGGCTAATTTCCTTAGTTACTCTGTTTTTCTGGCTTTACCAGGCAAGATTCAGTTGCAGAAAACAGAAATTGCTTTAGCTATATTAAGCAAAAGGGAATTTGGTGCTTATAAAATCAATGGAAAGTTTGAAAAAAAATGGTGTTAGGCAGAGGATTTTCAGAAATGATTCTTACAGCATGTTTAACTGCCTGTCAAGGAGCTATTCCTGGGTCCCTCAGAAAGATGGGAGATCTGGAAGCCATCGTTGGCAACAGAAAACCTTACCAAAGATTCAGGGATTAGGTGGCCCCAAATACTTCTTAAGAGCTGGTATAATGAGATTTGAGAGTTTTAGTGTATTATTAAATAACTAAAGTTGGTTGGGTTTGTGTATGCTTAGTCTTCAAATTTGGTGATTTGAAGTGATTGTCTGTTCCCATAATGATATACCAAAAAGTTAAAGGGAATAGTACCTCTAAATATTTCCATGTGAAATTAATATAAGTATTGTCTGTACTGGCTACTTTATATCCATTTTATATTTATTTTATAAGCATTATAATACAAAAACTAATGTGTTTTCAAGCAATCTGTCATTTGGTCTTTAACAACACATTTTTGCCTTCAAATTTCTATTTGTCTTATCTCTATGACTTCATTCACATTTTTCCTTGATAAGGTTTATATCTCCCATATATAGATGTTTAATGTATATGTAGCTCCTAGTCTAGAAAGGAAGACAAGATGCTGTTCATCCTAAGATATGAATGGAGAAGGGGACACAGCTTTGCTTAGGCTGATGCTTTGCTCCAGCCTAAGAAATGAGGACCTCCAGTTTTCTTGGGATCTTGCAATAGGGAACAGATTAGCAATTAAAGGTAAAATAACTTTTCATTTCTTTTGTAATTAGGTTTCCATAGAGTGAATTTATTATCCCAACGTAGTAAAACAAAACCACTCTAAAATTCAACTACTAACATGCATTCAGAACCAAACCGGAATTATTTTTGGATTGTTTCTCATCTTAGGTTATATAAATTCTACACACTCTGTATTTAGTGAAGATGTCAAATGTCAATGTGTTTATTTCAGCAAAGGTATGAAATGAGTGTAAACATCTTTTGCTTTATTAGTGACTTAAAAACAAACTTATTGTTTTTAATCACATTGCAGAATACTATATGGAATTCCTGTTATGACTGACTATCAAGGATATTTCAATATTCCTCAAGCTTCACCAGGAATATCACCTGAATCAGCACAAGGAATTAGACAGCATGCTCGCAAATCACACATGCAACTCTCAGGAGAGGAAGTAAGAACTTTCTTTTACATTTATTTTCTATACCCCACAGGTTCTCAAACTTTTTTGACTCTTAAAAATTATTGATGAACTCAGTGATTATTTGTGAGTCATATCTGTTGACATTTACAATGTTAGAAATTAAAATGAAAATGACAAAATATTGTATGTATTAAAATAACAATAAGAGTCACATATGTTCAGATAAATGATGTATTTTTATAAAAATAAGAAATTTAATGATAAAATAGATGTTTTTGAATCTCTTTAATATCTGACTTAATAGAAGACAGCTGGATTCTCATGTCTGCTTCTGCATTCAGTTTCATGGTTGGTTGTTTTGGATTAAGTATATCAAAAAATTCTGGCCTCATAGAGATCTATAATTTGAAAACCAATATTATTTTAATAGCAATTTTTACTTAATTGTGAATATTCTCCTTTGATAATACAGCAAAACTTAACAAGTGGTAGTTTTCTGGAAAGTTAGTTGGGAGATTTCTGCTTCTGATAAAGATAGAGATGCACAAGCCAGAACTCTGTGGCCCAGGGAATGACATGGGGATGAGTTAGTTCCTGGAGTTTTCTTTTATACTTCATATATCCTAGACTTAAGATGAAAAAGCTGGTGATCTGAAAATACCAACAGGTGAAGGAAAAAAGATAAAGAAAAAGAACAAGAAGAAGAAAAAGAAATGCTCCAACAAAAATCTGCTACCTCTGGCCAAAGAACCAGGGGAGGGTTAGCCCTGGAGGAAAAATGCAATTTTAGACAAATCACTGTTCTATTTTAGACACATATTACAGATAAAACTGTTGTCCCACTCCTGCCTCTACCAGTAAAGACCTAGTGGGAAGCCTAGACTTCTATATGATCAGATTGTCACAAGGGACCCTAACGCACCTACCAGGAAGGTGTCAAAGAAGGCTGCCTACGGAGCGAGGACTTTTTTCTTAATAGATATGTAATACTGCTTCCCCTTTATGCTGCCAGTTGAGATTATATGGGGCATCCTGGGCTTCCATCCTCATCTAGTGGTAATGAGTCAGTCTTCCCCTTCCTTACTGTGGTGATATGAGGAGGTTTAATTGAGTATCAGTTAAAACAGGAGGCTTTAAGGAAGATCCAAAATCTCATAGCATATAATACCCAAAACATCCATCTTTCAATTGAAAATCACTAGTTATATAAAAAGTTAGAAAAATCTCAAGCTGAACATAAAAAAACAATAGATGTTAGACAGAGATGTTAGAATTATCTGACAAAGATTTTAAAGTCACCACCATAAAAATATGTCATTAAGCAATTGTGAACCCACTGGAAACATACTTTTTTTTTTTTTTTTTTTTTTTTTAAAGTTTTGGCCATAGAGTGTGTGTGCTCACTAGAGAGAGACAGAGAAACAATGAGAGAGAAAGTGAGAAATCATCCTGGGGAAGGGGGGTGGTCACACCACAATCCCTTTTCCTCCATTCTCCTGGGATTTGGGGCATACATGCACATGTGTCCAGCATGATTTTTTGGGTCACCAGTTCTGGGACTCAAACTGGCTCAATCATATGGGAATCCAGTGCCTTAGCCACCATACCGCCTGCTGGCCCCCACTTCAAACGAATTTTAAAGAAAAGGAAATGGAAAGTCCTGGTGAAAAAATAGACAATGTAGAGAAGAAATATGAATAGTTTAGACTTGAAAAATACAGTGTCAGATATAAAAGGCTTAGTGGGTAGGCTTAAAAGAGGAATGGAGAAAACAGTAAAAAAAAAATCAATGAACTTGAAAATAGAACAACAGAATTCATCTAACCTAAATAATAAAGAGAAAAAAGACTGAAAAAATATAAACAATGCCTCAGAGATTTTTGGGATAATAACAAAAGATCTAACATTTGTGTTATCACAGTCCCAGAAAGAGAGGAAAAAGAGGGGAAGAGACTGAAAATATATTGAAAGAAGTAACAGCTAAAAGTTTCAGCAGTTGTCAGAATGTAAACTTACAGGTTCAAGAATCTCAGCAAACTCCAAACAGAAAGAGAGTCAAAGAAATTTACACCAAGCACATAATAGTGAAACTTGAAAACTAAAGACAAAACAAAACAAAAAAAATCTTGAAAGCAGTAAGAGAGAAATGATGTGTTACCTGTAGGGGAGAAACAACTTGAATGGACATAGATTTCTCGTCAGAAACTATGGAGGCTAGAAATAGTGGCAGAATATTTTTCAAGTGCTGGAACAAGACGTGAGTCCAGAATTCTATATCCTGAGAAATATCCTTCAGGAATAGAGGAAAATCAAGACATTCCCATGAGAGGAAACCAAGAAAATTTGCGGCCAGCAGATGTACTCTAAAAGAATGACTAGGGAAAATTCTCTAAACAAAAATGATAAAATAGAAAATAGTGAAATATCTAGAAGGAACAAAGAATATGAGAAGAAAGAATACAATAAATAAATAGGATTTTCTTCTGTTGAACTTTCTAAATTATGTTTGTTTGTTGGAACAAACATTGTCACACTGATGTGGTTGTAAATGTATAGAGAAGAAATATTTAAGACAATTTATATAAAAGGTAAGGGACATAAAGAGAGGTGAGGTTTCTATATCACTTGAATTGGTAAAATGATAACCTTATAGGGCCAGCAGGTGGCATAGTGGTTAAAGGCGCTAGACTCCCAGATGGCCAACTAGACTTAGAGGCTTGAAATTATGCTGGGCATATGTGCCCAAGTTCCCAGGAGGAGAATGGAGGAGAAGGTATTACAGGTTGGCCATCCCTTCTTGAGGAGTGACTTCTTACTTTCCCTCTCACTATCTTTCTCTGTTCCTCTCACTAGTGAGTGCACTTACCCAGTGGCAAAAAAAAAAAAAAAAAAAAAAAAAAAAAAAAAAAAACCAAAGGAAAAAAAAATGACATTATTAGACTATGATAAGTTACATTTGTATAATGTAATACTTAGAGCAACAACTCAAAAGTCACACAAAGAGATACCTTTTAAAACACTATAGATAAATAAAAGTGGAATATAAAAATATGTTGATGTAACCTACAAGATGGCAGGATAAAGAAAACAGAGAAACCAAAGAGAACAAATAGAAAACAAAAAACAAAACTACAGACTTAAGCCATAACTTAAATGTAAATGTTTGAATAGATAAATGACAGAGTGGCAGAGTGGATTAAAAAGCGTGACGCAACTGTTTAGTGTGTACAAGAAACAGACTTAAAATGATATAGCCAGGTTGAATGTAAGAGGGTAAAAAATTTAATTAATCAAATTAAAGTGAGAGTGGCTATATTAATATTAGACTGCCGATCAAATACATTTATCAGAAACATTATGATGAAAGTGTCAATACATCAAGAACAAATAGCAATATTAAAATATAAATGAATGAACTGCAAAATATGTGAAGTGAAAATTAATAGAACTGAAAGGAGAAATAGACAGTTGGAAAGTTAGACTTCCTTCACTCAACAACTGATAGACTACTTAGAAAATCGGCAAGAATATAGAAGAACTCAACAGCCTATCCTCTAACAGGAACTAGTTGAAATTTACAGAACAATAGTGCAACTATTTTGATACTGAATATTGGCAAGTGTCTTTTTGGAATTAAAAAACCAGTCCCTCAAAAAAAAAAAAAGAGAAATTTATAGAACATTGTACTCAACAAAAGTAGAATACATATTCCTTTAAGTCTTCATGAAACATATACTAGTATAGAGCAAATCCATAATGGAATCAAGCTAGAAATCAGTAACAGAAAGCAGAAAAATCTTTAAATCCTTGGAATCTAAACAATACAGTTATAAATAATCTCTGGGATAAAGCAAAAGTTTCAAGATATTTTTATAAACGTATTGAACTGAGTGAAAATAAAAATAAAATGTATCAAAATTTGCAGGACACAGAATAGTGTTGAGATGGAAATTAATAGCACTAAATAAGAAAGTCTTAAATTAAACTCCCATTTAAAGAGCTAAGAAAAAGAAGAATGAAATAAACCCAAAGAAAGCAGAAGAAAGCTATAATAAAGAGCAGAAGTCAATGAAATTGAATATGGAAAAATAAAAGGAAAATCAGTGAAAGAGCTGGTTCTTTGAAACAAAAAATCAGTAAAGTTGGTCTCTTGTAATACTGACAAGAAAAAAGAAAAAAAAAGAAGACACAAAATACCAATATAGACCCTGCAGATGTCAAAAGAATATGATGGAAATACTATGAACAATTCTATACACACATAAATTTGGCAGAGCGTATGTGCTTGCATGCCCAAGATCCTGGGAGGAGAATGGAGGAGAAGGGATTGTGGTGTGGCCATTCCCTATGGGGCAGGGTGTGATTTCTCACATACCCTCTCACAATCTCTGTCTCTCTTCAGTGAGCGCATGTACACTAAGGCAAGAACCTCTTTAAAACAAACACACACAAAAACAAAAGCATGAACTAGTAAAACTCGCCCAATGTGAAACATAATTTGAATAGCCCTATACTAGTCAGTCAGGTGGCGTGGTGGTTAAGGCAGCTGGATCCCACATGGCTATCTGTGTGTTTCCAGTCCGGGACCTGGTGACCAGAAAAACATGTTGGGCACTTGCATGCCCAAATTTCCAAGGGGAGAATGGAGGAGAGGGAATTGGTTATTCCCCTTGGGTGTGTTTTCTCTCTCTTCCTCTCTCACTCTCTCCATCTCTTTCTGGTGAACTAACTGAAAAAAAAAATTGACCTATAACTGTTAGGGAAATTGAATTATAACCCTATAACTGTTAGGGAAATTGAATTATTCATTTTAAAAACATCCCTCTCTTCTCAAATATCTCCAGGACCAGATAATTTTTTTTAGAAAGAATTCTGCCAAACACTTAAGGAAAAATTACCAGGAATTCTATTCTACACAACGTATTTCAGAATATAGACTATTTTCTGGTTCATTTTGTGAAGCCAGTAATTCCCTGATACCTAAATCAGACAAAGACAGTACAAAAAAGAAAACTACAGACTAATATTCC